GAGCGGCATGATGATGGGTAATGTTTCTACTTCACACTTCTAGTTAATCGTCTTTATTTATTTTTCGTGCTAATAGAACTCCAATCTTTTATAGTGTGTTTAATGTGGATTTTGCTTTAGAATTTACTAATACAGTACTTTCGTCGATTCAATTCCATAGAGTTGAGGGAATAATTGAGCTAGGTAAATATGTTAGTTCAGACAACAGAAAGTTCAGATCGAAAGTTTGGAAGGATTTTAAAGTGTCAGTAGTGGATGGTTATACTAAGGCAATATGTTTACAATGTTCTGCCCATCTAGTCACTGGCAACAAGAATGGAACAAGTCATTTGTGTTATCACATACGTGTTTGCCTAGAGCTTCAAAAGTCAAAGAAAAAGAAAACTACTTCAAAGGCAGAACTTCCTGTTTTTGATCAGCAAAGAAGTCGTGATGACTTTTGCTCGAATGGTTGTTTGCCATAATTATCCATTTTGTATGTCTGAGTATTATTACACAAGGTGATTCATTTATAATCTGCAACCTCAATTTAAGTTAATGCATAGAACTGCTGTGAAAGATGATATCATTAAGTTATATAAGGAGGGAAAAAGGAAGATATATGAAATATTGGATAAAAATCAGAGCCTGAATGAGTGAAATGACAGGCTATATGAGCATGACAGTACATTACTGATGCTCATTGGAAATTGCACAAAAAAAATTTTGGGCTTGTGCATGTCAAAACCCCACACACTGGTGTTGTCATTTCTAAGGCAATCATAGCTAGATCGTATGAATGGAATTTGGATAGAAAACTCTTTAGCTTTGTTCTTGATAATTGCTCAATCAATGATGTAGTGATTCGGGAAATACTTGGTATCCTCTTACCCAAGCAAGCATTACATTTAAAAGGTGAATTCTTTCAAATCCGATGTGCAATGCATATATTGAACTTAATAGTTTAGGATGGATTGAAAGTAATTGCCCCTATTCTGGTAAATATTCGAGAGACAATTAGTTATATCAACAAATCCACATCAAGATTGGAAAAGTTTGAATTGATTACCCAATAAGCGAATGCTCCCAAGTTATCTTTAGAAACTGATACTCCAACCAGATGGAATTCAACTTTTCACATGCTTGAGAGAACCATTAAATTCCGTGAAGCTTTTCTGTGATCGAAAGAATGTGACAAGTTTTTCCCATCAGATGAGGACTGGGTACATGTTACTAAACTAACAGATTGTTTGTGTGTCTTTTATGAAGCAACTCTGAGGGCTTCTGGCTCAAAATTTTCCACAGCAAGTCTTTACTTCAATGATTTTTGTGGAATATATATTTTTCTGCAAGAATTGAAGTTGAGTGATGATAACTTTATTGCTTCAATGGCTGTGCCAATGGCAGAAAAAATTGAGAAATATTGGGAGACATGCAACAAGTTATTATCTATTGCAACCATTCTTGATCCTCGCTACAAATTGAAGTCTATTGAGTACTTCTATGGATTGCTTTATCCTTCTGAAAAAGATGTGAAATTTGAACATATGAGGAGATGCTTTAGTGAATTATTTGATGAGTATTCAAAGCAAGCAACAATGCAATCCTCATCAGTTGTTGACACTTCAAGAAATTTCCAGGAGTGCAGTTCACAATCACATGAGTCCTCGTTGAGCTTATTTTCTACCATAGTAGGATTAGAAAAGTATATCCAAGATAGCAACTCAAGCCAGCAAACAACATCAGAGCTCAATGTCTATCTTGATGATCCTCCACATCCTGGAATCAGTGATACTTCTTTTGACATCTTGGCTTGGTGGAAGTTGTATGGTTCCAAATATCCAATTATTTCTCGAATGGCTCGTGATATCTTAAGTGTTCCTATGTCGACAGTAGCATCTGAATCATGCTTCAGTTTAGCTAATCAAGCACTTGATGAGAAGAGGTGCAGTCTACTGCCTGAAACACTTGAAGGTGTGATTTGTACACAGGATTAGCTGAGGGATTATATACCAGGTACAGATCTCCAATAAAAGAGTAAAATATTGTATTGCAATTTTGATGAATTTGCTAATCACTTTTTTTTTCTGGAGCAGATGAGTTTTTGGAACAGATGATAGCAGAAGATGTGTCATTTACTCAAGAACAAGCAGTTGTAGATCAACTTGAATGAAGATGTGCTGTGATGATTGAGGCACTTGGATCAGTTGCCAATTACTAGTGACCTACCTAGCACATTGTATCAACTAGTCGAATATTTCAAACTCAGTACTTTTCACGGTCTAGTTTCATTTTTAACTCACTTAATCAGCTAGTAGCAGAAAGCATATGTACTCCTGTTATTAACAGCTTCGTTGTACCTTAAATTGTGGGGTTTCATATCTAATTTTCCTTTTAAATGATATGGCTATTACCCAACTCTCTTTATCCACACATATCAGTTTTATCCATTCCCCAATGGGTATGGGTAATTTAGATGACAATGAATATGGGGAGGGTAAGAACGAGTAAGGTTTGAAGTGGGTGAGGGTATGGGTAAGCATGGGGATCCCCAAACCCTCCCCAACGGCAGGTGTTTAAGGTCTTTGGATGACTGGAGGTTGAAGAAAGCGTGAAATTATGTCAACGAACGCAGTTGGGCCAGGCTCACTTAGAGCAGATACAATAGCAGACTATTAGCCAGCTATAAATATATTTTAATAAGATAAAAGATGATATAGAAAAGTAGCGGGCTACAAATCTGTAGCCAGCTGCAGCATGAACTCCAAGACGTAATGTGTGTATGACAGATGAGACCATACATTAATATTATAGTAAGCAACTATTGTATGAGTTGGCTATTAGATTGGCTATAGATGAATTAGAGCTAGTAGTGGGCTATACTATTAAACTTGCTCTTAGAAAAGGAATTCCCTTAAAAATTAGGCTACAGGCCCAAATGCCACACTAGCCCCCAGCGGCCCAGCCCAAGTGGCCAAATACCTAATTCCCCAATCCCCCAGCCCCAAATCCCCTAGCAGAAGGCAGTGAGCTCCCCGTGCGGCGGCGCCGGCGAGGCAGCAGGCAGCAGGCGAAGCGCGCGGCGCCGCGAGCGCGAGCAGCTGCAGGCCAGTGGCGGCGGAGTCTGCAGGCCGGCGCCGGCGACGCCACGGCAGCACGTGAAGGACCAGGCGAGCAGCAGGCAGCCCCTTAGCCCGACGGCTGCAAAATACAAGGTATGCAATGTTTTGTCTCATACTCTCATGTACAGATTTTGCCTCGTGAAGGATAATCCGCGTCGCACGTGAGAAAATAATCAATTGTCTTGTGAATGAAGTTGTGATGTACTGATATTTCTCATTATCTCTCTGTTTCCATATGAAACTTCTTTTAGGGTGTGTTTGAGGAGAAGGGGATTGAGGAGATTCAAAAGATACGCAAAACGAGGTGAGCCATTAGCACATGATTAATTGAGTATTAATTATTTTAAACTTTAAAAATGGATTAATATGATTTTTAAAGCAACTTTTCTATAGAAATTTTTTACAAAAAACACACCGTTTAGTCAAGCGTACGCGCGGAAAACGAAATAATCTTTCTCCCTTTCTCCTGCGCTCGAACGCAGCCTTAGAGTACAACGTAATATTATGCTATTGTAATATTGTTTGAGACGTTATGTGTTTATGCCGGTGTTCCCAGGATGTTGAGCCCACCCCCCCCCCCCATTTTTTATTCCTGGATCCGCCACTGTTGGATCCAGTATGTTGAGCCGCCACTGTTGGATCCGAGGAGACTCCCGTCCGCTGCTGCTGGTGAGCTCCCCGATTTGGGGACTTCGCGAACCCTTGTTTGTTCGTTTGTTTGGCCATGGCGATGTTGGATGGCTTTAGGTTGACTATGAATTTCTGGAGTTTGCGGTTGCCAAGAGGGGAAAAAATGGTTTGTTTCATCATTTGGGCTGTTTTGTAGATGAGGGAATTGGCAGTTCTCTGCCTATTTTTCGCTATTGTACAGTTTTTATAGCCTGTTTGAGTTTCTGAATCTCTGGTCTTGCCATCGTCAAGGGGGCAGGTGGCTTGTTGAGTCAGTGTATGTAGTCCATGCGGGCACCAACTGTTCGATGAATTGCCCCTTAGGCAGGAAATGGCAGTGACTGTAGAATGCATGCGCTTGGTGAACTGCCAGCCTTGCATTGCTTCCCTGAGAAGGCTATTCATTCGTTCCCCCTGTATCCTGAGGATGTGCTAGCCTTTCTGGCCAATGGCCACAAGAAGCAGGTTTAGTTCAGCCTTTCAATCCAGAAACCTCAGGGGGCAACTTTTATAATCTTCACAACCCAATATGTTGATGTATAGTCTTTACCTTTACATGCATATTTGATTTTTTTTCTAGAAATTTTGTCTCAATCAAACTTGAAATTTCTTGCTCCTCAGTTTTCTAATTTTGCTTGCTCCAATCAAGTAAGTTTTTTCCAACAAGTTTTCTGTGTTTAAAGTTATAATATGTACCCGTTATGAACTATATAGTAGTGATAGTAAATATAGCTATAGTAAACATTATTTATGGTTTGAGTATCTTCAGCAATCCATGAATTGCGTGAGATATTTAAACATCTTTCTATGGAACTGGTGCATTCTTGTTCATAGTTCTCGTTGAAATAGCAAACTCTGATTATGGATATATTTGACCTTTTCATAGTTCTCCAAACAATGAGATGAGGTCATGTTTAATTTCCTAATTTTGCTCAGGTCTACAACTCTAAATATGACTATACTTGTAAAATCGCCTTGACGATCTCCACAATTTATGGAGTTTTTGTGGCATTGTACATTGGTATTTTCTTATGGTCACATTCATATTTACTTGTCTCCAATAGTTTTATTTATAAGAGATGTTGAGGAGCAAACACTGCATATCTTTACACTTCACATACGAATATACTTTGTGCTTTACTGCCTGGATTACTGCATCTACTTTTTTGTTAAATTCAATTTCTTGCATAAAATGGGGATAAGTTAACTGAGAGCTTCAGTAGACTAGTACATCACAACCTAGGTAATTGGAAGAATTAGCTACTATGATTCTTTGTTGAAACTTAGGTTTAGTAAAATAGAGTAACCAGATAATAGGTTCTATCAAATGGAAACTGGAGAAGGTACTTCCATAGTCGTATCATTGTTAATTTCACCCTCAGTATAATATTAGTGTTGAATATATGAAAGTTTGCTTTCGATGATTTCAGGTGATTTGAGACAATCAAGATGGCTTTTTCATCAGTTTTCAGGAGAGGAAATGTCAAAGAATTGATCTCAAATGTTTCGGTCTACACTAGCGCAGCAGGTAATGGCTTTGGCTTTAGGCAGTCTGAGACTCTTGACTGACTTGAGTCTGTATTTGTGCTATTTTGAATAAGGTGCTTGGCTGTTTGAATGACAAAATATACCTCATTGCAGAGTCATCTGGAGGATTGAGCTTGATTTTTAAGCGTTGGGCCACCAAAAAGACAGCTGGATCAACAAAAAATGGCCGTGACTCTAACCCTAAGTATTTGGGTGTTAAAAAGTTTGGCGGAGAGGTACAATCTTGTGATCTGTCATATGACTTTCATGTTTTTTTATTGTTTATGACAGCACAAAGTACTTTCTTTAATCACGTAAAAGTAATCAGACTTCGGAGATTTGTGTGTCCCTTCTGATCCCGTACCTGAACTCCTGAAGCAACTTGTCATTTTTGTTATTAGAACAAAAAGGTGAAAAAGATCTAAACTGTTCCTGAACATCAGCATTTGCATCATTTTTCAGAAAGTGGAGCCAGGAAACATCATCATCCGCCAAAGAGGAACCCGCTTCCATCCTGGGAACTACGTTGGCATGGGGAAGGACCATACTCTCTTCTGTCTGAAAGAAGGACATGTGCGATTCGAGCGCAACAAGCTGACTGGCAGGAAATGGGTTCATGTTGATCCTGTTGCTGGGCATGTGCTCCACCCTGTCTACGCCAGTGATTCGACCCCTGCAGCTGAAATGGAGCCATTGTAATGGCTTTACATGGAATGAAGTAACATATGTTGCTGACAGCTTTCGTCCTTGCCTTGAGAGTGACTTCTCTAAAGAAACTTATTGCGATTAAGAGGCTTCTGGGTTGAATTTGCTTGCAATAAGGAACCTAACCATCATGTTTAGAACCCTTTTGTTTTTGGTTCTTGCTGTGGCTTAAAGTTGTTTGTTTTAAGTATCCTTTGTGATTTGTGGCATGAAGGTTGACAAACCTACATGATTTATGAACACACAGAAATTCTAAAAATGTTGCTTGGGCCGGGAAAGTCAAGATGCTTATTTTTCTTCGAAATACCTATGGAATAACCTATGTCACGGGAATTTGAGAGAACTACTTTGTAGGAGGGTTAATCCTTTGGCTTCAAGAGTTTCACATGATTGTTTTTCATATATGATTTAAAATATTCTGCAATACGTAGGATTTTCATTCGAATTGATTCAGTTTCTGCAAAAGTCATCTAGAATTCGTTTGGTTCAAATGAAGTATTTCTTTGTTGCAATACATACTCTTCCCGCCCAATCACCCAATGATCCAAAGGAATATATGTGTGAGCACTTCCTTTATTGAAGTATAGTATCGGTTGTTTTAATTCCAACTCTTCACATTTTGGAATCTACCCTGGAAATGGCTATTTTGAAAGTTTTACTACTATTTTATTGTCATGTTATAACATTACATAGAGTTAATTTATCGGTCACTCCATCATCTTTTTAATAAGTTTTTTTGAAAGCTAATACTTAATTACCTGTGCATTACTCTATCGCTTCATTCTGTATGTAGTGGAAGTGTTCTCTACCCAAAATGATATAAGTACGTCTTAAAACGCCATAGAAAAACTGGTTATCTTTATTACAACCCAATCTTTTTGCTTTTGCTTATACTTATAAGCCAAAATTTAAATTTTCAACCTTAAATTTGGAGTTGATTTTGGGGTTTTTCATCAAAGTTTATTTTTTATTTTTTGCTTTTAGATCACTAAGGCCCTGTTCGTTTCTTATGTAAGGAGAGGGTTAAATTGTGAATACTCGTGGCACGCTTTTAAAACTGCTAAACGATGCGTTTCGTGCGAAAACTTTCTATATGAAAGTTGCTCTAAAATATTAGATTAATCTATTTCTTAAGTTTATATAATAATTAAAACTCAATTAATCACATATTATTACCACATCGTTTTGCGTGAAACACTTAATCTTTATCTTCATCTTCATCTTCAGGAGATTCAAACACCACCTAGAAACACATATATAAAAGTTTTGTTCACAAATTATTTTTCGTTTGCAAATATGCAATTTTGCTTAGGCTGTGTTTAGTTCATCGCAAAGTTTAGATTTTGGTTGAAATTAGAGATGATGTGACTGAAAAGTTATGTGTGTATGACAAGTTGATATGATGGAAAATGACTGAAGTTTGGATCCAAACTTTGGATCTAAACACAGCCTTAATCCCCAAATAAGCCAAACGATGGGGGCCTTAGTTTGTTCAACGTGTTAAAATTAAAAAATATATTTACACAACTATAAACATAAGCAAACACACACACACCACGTTAAAATTCCGAGAGAGAGAGAACCGATGCGAAAAGAGCGATCCCCTCCCGCGTCTTTCAAACGGAGCCCGCGCCCCGGATTCCCCTCCATTCCCGGGGGTTTCCAGATTCCCAGCGAGGGAAAAAGCAAGCAAAAAAAAAAAAAAAAAAAAAACGGAGGCGAGCGCGAGCGCTGCGCATCCCAGATGGACGGCGGATCGGGTGCCAGCGCCACCCGCCTCGCCGAATCCGGGCCGTCCATTCCTCCGCTCGGTCGGGCGCCCCGTTAAGCCTGAGCCCCACCCACCCCCCACCCCCGAACCCTCGCCCTCCTCACCCCGCGCACCCCCTCCACCTCGCCGCCGCCGCCGACTCGCCGGGGCTCGCCGCCACCGGTGGTGGGGGGGAGCTCGACCTCCTCGCCCCACGCGCGCATCCGGACGCCGTCGTTCTGGGCGCGGGAGAGATCCGTCCGTCGCCCCCCGCTGGGCTTGCGCCATCCTCTCGCCGGGTAAGCCCTAGGTTTTTTTTTTTTTTTGGTCCGATCGATTCCGCCGCGCTCCTAGCCGCGGGTGAGGCAGGAATCGGGGTGGTTGCGGGGGGCTCGTCGTGCGGTCGAGGGATTTGGTTGTTCCTAGTAGGAGGGGTTGTACTTGTTCATCCCGTCGATCCAGTGGAGGCGCGTGGGAGATCTCGGTTGGGGGTTTCCGTGGGCTCCGTGGGTTGCCGCTCGCGGTGCAGCGGCGGGATGTGGATGGGGATGGGGATGGCGTGGTGGGCCGTAGGTGCGAGCAACCCTAGACGGATTTTTTTTTTGTGGCCATTTTAGGGTTTACGGGAATGGATTTTTTTTTTACCGAACAAGAGATGTACTCTGAAAATTGCTGTCTTTTCGTAGCGAGGGGCCTATAGGATCATTGAAGCCTTAGGGACTTAGGGTTTGGGCTGCTTGCAGCTGTATTTCTCATTTGTAAACATTAGACTTCCGTGTCTGCTGTGGGAGGATGAAAGAATTGACTTGGGAGCTGAGTTCTATTAGGTTCACTGGTTTTGTGGAGTAATGTTTGGAAATAATCTGAGGGAGTATAAGGCTGCTCCATCGCAGTGCCACGTGTAGCATTCGGTTCGAATTTTTCATTTGTGTAATGTTTCTTAGCAGTTACTTTTTATTTTGGAAGTTGGTTCTCCCAAAAAACTTGTGTCCTATCTGGTTTATTTGAAGGTATCTTAGGACAACAAGACGATTAGATGCAAAAGTTGAAAGTAGGGGCATTAACATAAACCTTGTTGGGTGCAGAATATGGTAATTTTATACGTATTAATTGCGTACGTACCGTTTCCACAAAATTGTTCATGTAGTAATAAATAACTGCCAAAGAAAGCTGATGTGACTCCATGAATGAATGTATACTACGCTATATCTGCTGTATTGATTGCTGTAGCAATCCATTCGTTTTCAGTATTGTGCTGGTGCATTGTTTGCAAAAGCAAATCATATTTATTAATTTTTCATTATTGAGTTGCAGCTTGCAAATGTGTATGTATGTACATATTGTGAGAGAAAGTAGGCATGTCTGAACTCTCAACATGATTATTGTCATAAGAAAAATGTTATCGTTGTTTTTCTCTCTTTTTGGGTAACTGTTTGTGTTTATGGTTATAAGTTCTATATTATAAATTTGTTCAGGCTGGAATTAGGCTGACCAAATCCTTGTTTTGAAATTCGAATTATATTGATATATATCTTGTACGGTCATTGCATTTTTTATTGTTTTGCTTTATAACTATATATAGGCTGGCTTCATTACGTACTCCCTCCGTCCCAAAAAAACTTAACCTAGGCAAGGATGTGACATCTCCTAGCACAATAAATCTGGACAGTCCTTTGTCCAGATTCGTTGTACTAGAAAATGTCACATCCCTTCCTAGGTTTAGTTTTTTTGGGACGGAGGGAGTAAACTTGTCTATGTTAAAGTTTGGAATATCCAAAGGTCCTCAACCTAGTATGTACTATTTTCTTGACCTTAACATGGAACTATACATGACCTTTTTTTTTCCTATTTTACTGAATAAGATGATTGTTTGTTTGCGGTTTCCTAAATGTACTTAACTGTTGGTATTGTTGTGAAGATGTGACGGAATTAGTATTGTGGTATTACATCTATGTCGTAGACAGCTTTTTGGGTTTGCAGGAATGAAGTACATAAATATCTGTTTGGTGCTGTGGTACAACAATGTAAATAGTTTATTGCAGTGACAATGTTGCACTGTTGCATGCATTTTTGTTAGGATCATGGTTGTCTGTTGCCTTGTTATGCCATTAACAAATCTAGAATAAGTGAAGCAGCTTAAAGTTATGTTCTCGTGCTCTTAAGAGCAAACATTTAAGAGGTATAATAGCATTCTGTGTTCAAACTATATTTTAGAACCTTTGCCCTTGCTTAAATAGTTTTATTTATAAGAGATGTTGAGGAGCAAACACTGCATATCTTTACACTTCACATACGAATATACTTTGTGCTTTGCTGCCTGGATTACTGCATCTACTTTTTTGTTAAATTCAATTTCTTGCATAAAATGGGGATAAGTTAACTGAGAGCTTCAGTAGACTAGTACATCACAACCTAGGTAATTGGAAGAATTAGCTACTATGATTCTTTGTTGAAACTTAGGTTTAGTAAAATAGAGTAACCAGATAATAGGTTCTATCAAATGGAAACTGGAGAAGGTACTTCCATAGTCGTATCATTGTTAATTTCACCCTCAGTATAATATTAGTGTTGAATATATGAAAGTTTGCTTTCGATGATTTCAGGTGATTTGAGACAATCAAGATGGCTTTTTCATCAGTTTTCAGGAGAGGAAATGTCAAAGAATTGATCTCAAATGTTTCGGTCTACACTAGCGCAGCAGGTAATGGCTTTGGCTTTAGGCAGTCTGAGACTCTTGACTGACTTGAGTCTGTATTTGTGCTATTTTGAATAAGGTGCTTGGCTGTTTGAATGACAAAATATACCTCATTGCAGAGTCATCTGGAGGATTGAGCTTGATTTTTAAGCGTTGGGCCACCAAAAAGACAGCTGGATCAACAAAAAATGGCCGTGACTCTAACCCTAAGTATTTGGGTGTTAAAAAGTTTGGCGGAGAGGTACAATCTTGTGATCTGTCATATGACTTTCATGTTTTTTTATTGTTTATGACAGCACAAAGTACTTTCTTTAATCACGTAAAAGTAATCAGACTTCGGAGATTTGTGTGTCCCTTCTGATCCCGTACCTGAACTCCTGAAGCAACTTGTCATTTTTGTTATTAGAACAAAAAGGTGAAAAAGATCTAAACTGTTCCTGAACATCAGCATTTGCATCATTTTTCAGAAAGTGGAGCCAGGAAACATCATCATCCGCCAAAGAGGAACCCGCTTCCATCCTGGGAACTACGTTGGCATGGGGAAGGACCATACTCTCTTCTGTCTGAAAGAAGGACATGTGCGATTCGAGCGCAACAAGCTGACTGGCAGGAAATGGGTTCATGTTGATCCTGTTGCTGGGCATGTGCTCCACCCTGTCTACGCCAGTGATTCGACCCCTGCAGCTGAAATGGAGCCATTGTAATGGCTTTACATGGAATGAAGTAACATATGTTGCTGACAGCTTTCGTCCTTGCCTTGAGAGTGACTTCTCTAAAGAAACTTATTGCGATTAAGAGGCTTCTGGGTTGAATTTGCTTGCAATAAGGAACCTAACCATCATGTTTAGAACCCTTTTGTTTTTGGTTCTTGCTGTGGCTTAAAGTTGTTTGTTTTAAGTATCCTTTGTGATTTGTGGCATGAAGGTTGACAAACCTACATGATTTATGAACACACAGAAATTCTAAAAATGTTGCTTGGGCCGGGAAAGTCAAGATGCTTATTTTTCTTCGAAATACCTATGGAATAACCTATGTCACGGGAATTTGAGAGAACTACTTTGTAGGAGGGTTAATCCTTTGGCTTCAAGAGTTTCACATGATTGTTTTTCATATATGATTTAAAATATTCTGCAATACGTAGGATTTTCATTCGAATTGATTCAGTTTCTGCAAAAGTCATCTAGAATTCGTTTGGTTCAAATGAAGTATTTCTTTGTTGCAATACATACTCTTCCCGCCCAATCACCCAATGATCCAAAGGAATATATGTGTGAGCACTTCCTTTATTGAAGTATAGTATCGGTTGTTTTAATTCCAACTCTTCACATTTTGGAATCTACCCTGGAAATGGCTATTTTGAAAGTTTTACTACTATTTTATTGTCATGTTATAACATTACATAGAGTTAATTTATCGGTCACTCCATCATCTTTTTAATAAGTTTTTTTGAAAGCTAATACTTAATTACCTGTGCATTACTCTATCGCTTCATTCTGTATGTAGTGGAAGTGTTCTCTACCCAAAATGATATAAGTACGTCTTAAAACGCCATAGAAAAACTGGTTATCTTTATTACAACCCAATCTTTTTGCTTTTGCTTATACTTATAAGCCAAAATTTAAATTTTCAACCTTAAATTTGGAGTTGATTTTGGGGTTTTTCATCAAAGTTTATTTTTTATTTTTTGCTTTTAGATCACTAAGGCCCTGTTCGTTTCTTATGTAAGGAGAGGGTTAAATTGTGAATACTCGTGGCACGCTTTTAAAACTGCTAAACGATGCGTTTCGTGCGAAAACTTTCTATATGAAAGTTGCTCTAAAATATTAGATTAATCTATTTCTTAAGTTTATATAATAATTAAAACTCAATTAATCACATATTATTACCACATCGTTTTGCGTGAAACACTTAATCTTTATCTTCATCTTCATCTTCAGGAGATTCAAACACCACCTAGAAACACATATATAAAAGTTTTGTTCACAAATTATTTTTCGTTTGCAAATATGCAATTTTGCTTAGGCTGTGTTTAGTTCATCGCAAAGTTTAGATTTTGGTTGAAATTAGAGATGATGTGACTGAAAAGTTATGTGTGTATGACAAGTTGATATGATGGAAAATGACTGAAGTTTGGATCCAAACTTTGGATCTAAACACAGCCTTAATCCCCAAATAAGCCAAACGATGGGGGCCTTAGTTTGTTCAACGTGTTAAAATTAAAAAATATATTTACACAACTATAAACATAAGCAAACACACACACACCACGTTAAAATTCCGAGAGAGAGAGAACCGATGCGAAAAGAGCGATCCCCTCCCGCGTCTTTCAAACGGAGCCCGCGCCCCGGATTCCCCTCCATTCCCGGGGGTTTCCAGATTCCCAGCGAGGGAAAAAGCAAGCAAAAAAAAAAAAAAAAAAAAAACGGAGGCGAGCGCGAGCGCTGCGCATCCCAGATGGACGGCGGATCGGGTGCCAGCGCCACCCGCCTCGCCGAATCCGGGCCGTCCATTCCTCCGCTCGGTCGGGCGCCCCGTTAAGCCTGAGCCCCACCCACCCCCCACCCCCGAACCCTCGCCCTCCTCACCCCGCGCACCCCCTCCACCTCGCCGCCGCCGCCGACTCGCCGGGGCTCGCCGCCACCGGTGGTGGGGGGGAGCTCGACCTCCTCGCCCCACGCGCGCATCCGGACGCCGTCGTTCTGGGCGCGGGAGAGATCCGTCCGTCGCCCCCCGCTGGGCTTGCGCCATCCTCTCGCCGGGTAAGCCCTAGGTTTTTTTTTTTTTTTGGTCCGATCGATTCCGCCGCGCTCCTAGCCGCGGGTGAGGCAGGAATCGGGGTGGTTGCGGGGGGCTCGTCGTGCGGTCGAGGGATTTGGTTGTTCCTAGTAGGAGGGGTTGTACTTGTTCATCCCGTCGATCCAGTGGAGGCGCGTGGGAGATCTCGGTTGGGGGTTTCCGTGGGCTCCGTGGGTTGCCGCTCGCGGTGCAGCGGCGGGATGTGGATGGGGATGGGGATGGCGTGGTGGGCCGTAGGTGCGAGCAACCCTAGACGGATTTTTTTTTTGTGGCCATTTTAGGGTTTACGGGAATGGATTTTTTTTTTACCGAACAAGAGATGTACTCTGAAAATTGCTGTCTTTTCGTAGCGAGGGGCCTATAGGATCATTGAAGCCTTAGGGACTTAGGGTTTGGGCTGCTTGCAGCTGTATTTCTCATTTGTAAACATTAGACTTCCGTGTCTGCTGTGGGAGGATGAAAGAATTGACTTGGGAGCTGAGTTCTATTAGGTTCACTGGTTTTGTGGAGTAATGTTTGGAAATAATCTGAGGGAGTATAAGGCTGCTCCATCGCAGTGCCACGTGTAGCATTCGGTTCGAATTTTTCATTTGTGTAATGTTTCTTAGCAGTTACTTTTTATTTTGGAAGTTGGTTCTCCCAAAAAACTTGTGTCCTATCTGGTTTATTTGAAGGTATCTTAGGACAACAAGACGATTAGATGCAAAAGTTGAAAGTAGGGGCATTAACATAAACCTTGTTGGGTGCAGAATATGGTAATTTTATACGTATTAATTGCGTACGTACCGTTTCCACAAAATTGTTCATGTAGTAATAAATAACTGCCAAAGAAAGCTGATGTGACTCCATGAATGAATGTATACTACGCTATATCTGCTGTATTGATTGCTGTAGCAATCCATTCGTTTTCAGTATTGTGCTGGTGCATTGTTTGCAAAAGCAAATCATATTTATTAATTTTTCATTATTGAGTTGCAGCTTGCAAATGTGTATGTATGTACATATTGTGAGAGAAAGTAGGCATGTCTGAACTCTCAACATGATTATTGTCATAAGAAAAATGTTATCGTTGTTTTTCTCTCTTTTTGGGTAACTGTTTGTGTTTATGGTTATAAGTTCTATATTATAAATTTGTTCAGGCTGGAATTAGGCTGACCAAATCCTTGTTTTGAAATTCGAATTATATTGATATATATCTTGTACGGTCATTGCATTTTTTATTGTTTTGCTTTATAACTATATATAGGCTGGCTTCATTACGTACTCCCTCCGTCCCAAAAAAACTTAACCTAGGCAAGGATGTGACATCTCCTAGCACAATAAATCTGGACAGTCCTTTGTCCAGATTCGTTGTACTAGAAAATGTCACATCCCTTCCTAGGTTTAGTTTTTTTGGGACGGAGGGAGTAAACTTGTCTATGTTAAAGTTTGGAATATCCAAAGGTCCTCAACCTAGTATGTACTATTTTCTTGACCTTAACATGGAACTATACATGACCTTTTTTTTTCCTATTTTACTGAATAAGATGATTGTTTGTTTGCGGTTTCCTAAATGTACTTAACTGTTGGTATTGTTGTGAAGATGTGACGGAATTAGTATTGTGGTATTACATCTATGTCGTAGACAGCTTTTTGGGTTTGCAGGAATGAAGTACATAAATATCTGTTTGGTGCTGTGGTACAACAATGTAAATAGTTTATTGCAGTGACAATGTTGCACTGTTGCATGCATTTTTGTTAGGATCATGGTTGTCTGTTGCCTTGTTATGCCATTAACAAATCTAGAATAAGTGAAGCAGCTTAAAGTTATGTTCTCGTGCTCTTAAGAGCAAACATTTAAGAGGTATAATAGCATTCTGTGTTCAAACTATATTTTAGAACCTTTGCCCTTGCTTAAATAGTTTCTGTACATTAATATAAACTTGTGAAATAATTCACTAACTAATTATGGATTGATTTGTTTCATGCAGTTCACTGGGTTAATGTGAGCTTCTTGATAAAATATGGCGGATAATGGTAATGCAAAGCCAGGTGGTGGGGGATCTGGAGCTTATACAATCAACCTAGATAACTTCAGTAAGCGGCTGAAGGTGTTCTATGACCATTGGAAAGAGCATAATTCTGATCTATGGGGTTCTTCTAACGCTATTGCAATTGCTACTCCACCTCCGTCTGAAGATCTTCGTTATTTGAAGTCGTCAGCTCTGGACGTCTGGCTACTTGGATATGAATTTCCAGAAACCATAATTGTCTTCATGCACAAGCAAATACATTTCTTATGCAGTCAAAAGAAAGCAAATCTCATTGGCACCCTCAAGAAGGCTTCAAATGATGCTGTTGGTGCTGATATTGTCTTGCACGTGAAAGCTAAGAATGACAGTGGTGTTGGCTTAATGGAGGACATAGTGCGTGCTGTCTGTGCTCAGTCAAAATCAGATGACCCAATTGTTGGTCACATCGCAAAAGAGGCACCTGAGGGTAAGCTCCTTGAAGCTTGGGCAGACAAATTGTCTAGCTCATCTGTGCAACTTACAGATATAACGAATGGCTTCTCTGAGCTTTTTGCTATGAAGGATACCTCAGAGATCACATGTGAAGAAGGCCTCCTACCTAACCTCATCTGTAATGAAAAATTTTGTGGTTCCGAAGCTAGAGAAGGTGATTGATGAAGAGAGGAAAGTGACACACTCTTCATTGATGGATGAGACAGAAAAGGCTATTCTTGATCCTCTTAAGGTCAAAGTGAAGTTGAAGGCTGAAAATGTTGACATATGCTATCCTCCTGTATTTCAAAGTGGAGGGAAGTTTGACCTCAAGCCAGGTGCCTCAAGCAATGATGATTATCTTTACTATGACTCTGCAAGTGTTATCATATGTGCAATTGGGGCCAGATATGGAAATTATTGCTCCAATATGGCCAGAACATTTCTGATAGATGCTACTCCTGCACAGAGCAAGGCGTATGAAACTCTTATGAAAGCTCATGAAGCTGCTCTAGAAGCATTGAAGCCAGGGAATCGGATGAGTGCGGTTTATCAGGCTGCAGTTGACGTTATTGAGAAGAATGCCCCTGAACTACTCCCTAATCTAACGAAGTCTGCTGGTACAGGAATTGGTCTTGAATTCCGAGAGTCTGGCTTAAACTTGAATCCCAAGAATGACCGTATCATAAAAGCAGGAATGGTTTTCAATGTCTCCCTTGGTTTGCTTAATCTTCAAGCAGAAACAAAGAGTGAGAAGACAAAACAATACTCTCTTTTGTTGGCTGATACATGTTTAGTGCCATTGGAGAACTTAACAGCATCATGCTCCAAGCTTCTTAAGGATGTTGCTTATTCGTTTAATGACGAGGATGAAGTTCTTCCTGTCAAAAAGGTGGAGGTTAATGCAAAGGAGGCATTGCCACCAACAAAGGCCACACTTAGGTCAGACAACCAGGAGATGTCCAAGGAAGAGCTCCGGAGACAACACCAGGCTGAACTTGCTCGCCAAAAGAATGAAGAGACTGCTAGAAGGCTTGCTGGGGTTGGCTCTGGTTCTGGTGATGGGCGTGGTCCCTCAAGGTCATCAAATGAGCTTGTTGCATATAAGAATGTTAATGATGTTCCATATGCAAGAGAGTTGGTCATACAAGTAGATCAGAAGAATGAAGCTGTCCTCTTACCTATTCATGGCAGCATGGTTCCTTTCCATGTTTCTACTGTTAAGAGTGTCACAAGTCACCAAGACAACCGCACTTGCACTATCCGCATCTTCTTCAATGTGCCTGGCATGCCATTCTCAAACGATAGCAATCTGAAGTCGCAAGGGGCTATCTACTTGAAGGAGATCACGTTCCGCTCGAAAGATCCACGACATAGCAGTGAAGTTGTTCCGCAAATCAAAACGTTGAGGCGGCAAGTTGCTTCAAGGGAGTCAGAGAGAGCTGAAAGAGCCACCCTTGTTACTCAGGAGAAACTCCAGTTGGCAAGCAACAGAAACAAGCCAGTGAGACTTTCTGATGTGTGGATAAGGCCTGCATTTGGTGGACGTGGGCGGAAGCTTACAGGAACTCTTGAGTCCCATGTCAATGGTTTTAGATATTCTACTTCAAGGGCTGATGAGCGTGTGGATATCATGTATGGGAATGTAAAGCATGCCTTCTTCCAGCCAGCAGAAAAAGAAATTATTACACTCCTTCATTTCCATTTGCACAATCATATTATGGTTGGAAACAAGAAGACAAAGGATGTTCAATTTTATGTTGAGGTGATGGATGTTGTTCAGACTCTTGGTGGGAATAGGAGATCAGCTCTTGATCCTGATGAAATTGAAGAAGAGCAGCGTGAGAGGGACCGAAAGAATAGAATAAACATGGATTTCCAGAACTTTGTGAACAAGGTTAATGATCACTGGTCGCAGCCACAATTCAAGGGGCTGGATCTTGAGTTTGATGTCCCTCTTAGAGAGCTTGGATTCCATGGTGTTCCATATAAAGCTTCAGCTTTCATCATTCCAACTTCGACTTGTTTGGTTGAACTAATAGAGACACCCTCTCCCCCCCCCCCCTCTGCGAGGATCCTCCGTCGAGCATCTCTCGGCGCACGAGCTGAAGCTGGTGACCACCGGCGGCGCGCCGTTCTGCTGCGACGGCTGCATGCAGCCCGGCGACGACGGCGCCGGCTACCGGTGCGGCGGTGCGACGTCTGCCACTTCGACCTGCGCACGTGCTGCGCGCTCCCGCCGGCCACCCTGGAGAACGACATGTTCGAGGTCAGCGCGTTCGCGTTCCTCGCCGAGCCGCCGGCGGCGCCCGCCGCCGCGGGCGGCAGGATCTGCGACGCCTGCGGCGACGGCGTGCGCGGCTTCGTCTACCACTCCGACGACCCCCGACCTCGACCTCCACCCATGCTGCGCGTTCCTGCGCAGGCGCGTCGTGGTGCAGGACGGCCGCCACTTCGAGCTCCGCAAGCGCGCGCAGCCGCGCCGGCCTGTGCGGCGAGAGGAGCGGCCGCCGCCGCAACTTCTGGGCGTACCGGACCTACGACGACGACGGCGAACCCGTGTACCTGCACATCGCGTGCGTCAAGGACGGACACCGCGGGCGGTGCGCGGCGGCGGTGTGGCGGCGAGATCGTGCTGGTGAGCTCGTCGCCGGCGATGGACGGCGTGCTGCAGAGCGTGCCCCGGAGGAGGACGCCGCGGAGCGGCGGGTTCGAGAGGTTTTGCAAGATTGTTAACGTCGTCGTGAGCGTCATCATCGCGGTCATATTCGGGAGTCCCATGGCGATGATAAGCGCGGTTGCAGGGCCCGATGGTCTCCTCCGTGGGTAGGGAGATAGTGCGAAAATAATCAAAATGATATCCGTTGTGAATTAGTGCAAAACACATTCATATTCAACTCAAATTGGGACGATCCGACGATGAGAAATTTGAAAAATAAATAGCAATGGATATGTGACGCGATATTCTGCCTAACTACTATGTGTGCACACATGTATTAGCGCTGGGTTGCAAACGGGACTATAGTGGGTTTCTTCAGCAGTGGCTAGCAGTGTGTCTATATTTCAGGTGCCCGAAATTTTCAAAAAAAATCAGTCATTTTTTCATCCATCCTTTGGATGGGAATCCAACATGGTTCTCATCACTCATTCTTCATTAATGGAAGGTTGAACAATATATTATTCTAAACTACAAAAGTTGAAGCTGATATTAAAGAAACTTATGATTCATAAAAGTATACAAAATCACATGCAAAAATATTACTCCCTCCTTCCCTAAATGTTTGACGCCGTTGACTTTTTTAAACATGTTTAACCGTTCGTCTTATTCAAAAAAAACTTTTATAAAATGTATAAAACTATATGTATACATAAAAATATATTTAACAATAAATCAAATGATGGGAAAAGAATTAATAATTAATTAATTTTTTTAATAAGACGAATGGTCAAACATTTTTAGAAAAGTCAACGGCGGCAAACATTTTGGGATGGAGGGAGTAAAAGTTAGATAAAATTAAAGTAAAACCGAATATAAGAACAAAATTGCAATTTAAAATAAATAAAATTTCACATTGCATACTATGACATACGAATGTGTGTAATTTTGCGTGACTGAAAATTTTAAAATTTTGATACGCACTGCTAGAAAAAGGATTTTCGCAGGCGGCCCAAAACCAATTTCGCAGGCGGGGAGGAGGACCGTCGCTAACACATCGACTGTGAAAATAGACCATTTTCGCACGCGGGCCTGTGGCCCCCCTGCGAAAATCATCTAAAAAATAAAAAAAAACCACGGGCGCTGCCGCCGGCCTTACCACGGGCGCCGCCGGCCAGGGAGGAGCCGAGCTGCTGCGTCGGCGCCGTCGTCGTCGTCGTCGCCCGTCGTCGTCGTCGGCGCCGTCGTCATCGTCGTCGCTCGTCGTGGACGTGGGAGAGGAGGGAGCCGCAGGCGCGCGGACGTGGGGAGAGGAGGGGAGCTGGCGGCACGCGGTCGTCGTCGTCGCCGAGGAGGGAGCCGGCCGGCGGCGGAGGTGGGGAGCCAGCGGCGCGCGGACGTTGGAGAGGAGGGAGCCGGCTGGTGGCGCATGGACGTGGGGAGAGGAGGGGAGCCGGCGTCGCGGTCGTCGTCGTCGCCGGCGCATGGAGGCGGCGTCGCGGTCGTCGTCGTCGTTGGCGGCGGAGGTGGGAAGCCGGTGGCGCGTGGACGTTGGAGAGGAGGGAGCCGGCCGGCGGCGCGCGGACGTAGGGAGAGGAGGGGAGCCGGCCGGCGTCGCGGCGTCGCGGCGTCGCGGTCGTCGTCGTCGCCGGCGGCGGAGGTGGGGAGCCGAGGAGGGAGCCAGCCGCAGCGGAGGTGGGGGGCCGGCCGGCGGCGGAGGTGGGGGTGGAGAGGAGATTTTTTCTAAGTCAGAGAGAGAGTGAGGGGGCAGTGAAATGAGTGGTGGAGAGGTGAGGATAGGATAAGGATGGGGGAGGAGAGGATAAGGAGGTAGGTACGATTTTTGTAAGCGGACCACCTAACATGCGCCTGCGAAAATTGATTTTCACAAGCGTCGCTTAAGTGGTCCGCCTGCGAAAATAATTTTCGCAAGCGTCGCTTAAGTGGTCTGCCTGCGAAAATCAGGCGGACAGCTAGTTTCACCCCGATTTATATTTTTATAGGAGGTCGTTTGGCTTCAAATGTTATGTCCGACTGCGAAAATAAGACCCCTACGTTGGGAAAAATGCTTTTTCTAGTAGTGACGTACGCATGAAATCTAGCAATACCCTATGGGAGCAGCAAACCCCATGGGCTACATGATAGAATTTTAAAAGGAGAAAGTCAACGACAATGTATGTATAGTATTGTTTGTTTTGTTCTAAATTAGTATCAGTGAAAGCTTAATAATGTGGCACCGTTTAGTTCGCGAAATGAAAATTTTTAGGTGTCACATCGGACGTTTGACCGAATGTCGGAAGAGGTTTTTTGGACACGAATGAAAAAACTAATTTTATAACTCGCCTGGAAACCGCGAGACGAATCTTTTGAGCCTAATTAATCCGTCATTAGCATATGTTGGTTACTGTAGCACTTATGGCTAATCATAGACTAATTAGGCTCAAAAGATTCGGCTCACAATTTCCTCCTAACTGTGCAATTAGTTTTTGTTTTTATCTATATTTAATTCTTCATGCATGTGTCTAAAGATTCGATTCGATGTGATGTTTTTGGGAAAAAAAATTTGAAAGCAGGGCCTGTATTAATGATTGGTATGACGTACGTACGCCCAGCTGGGAACGTGCGAGCTAGATTCGCCACCGGAATGACTGTGCGTACGACTGCATCTGTCCGACCTTCATACGACTGCACATGATAAATTTTAACTTATTTTGATTGGGCCCACGTGAATGCTTATGAACTCCTATGATTGGTTGGTTTGGCGCAGTCGTATGAGAGTTGTATGGTTCAGTCGGATGTACAGCACTACTCATTCTCTACATACTACTCCATCCGTCCCAAAATAAGTGTAGTTTTGTACTATTTATGTTCAACGTTTGACCGTTTGTCTTAATTTTTTTTATGATTAGTATTTTTATTGCTATTAGATGATAAAACATGAATAGTACTTTATGTGTGACTAAATATTTTTAAATTTTTCACAATTTTTTAAAATAAGACGGACAGTCAAACGTGGGGCACGGATATCTACGGCTACACTTATTTTGGGACGGAGATAATATCTCCTTAGACCACGGTAAAGACTGATGATGGAGGTAATATCTCCTTAGACCACGGTAAAGACTGATGATGGAGACATTTTACTGCTTGGTCGCTACGAAACTTAACAAACGAGACGTGGCCCCCTATCATATGGATTGCTTTGCCAGCATGTGTAGTTAGACCAAGGTCCGGAGATCTTGACTCGCAGTCTACTTATATATAATCTCTGTGCTAAAAAAAACTCAATAGATTCATTCCTAAGATTTTTTTTTTCAGAGGGAGTACAGTCAGCTCCGTCTCGAATTATAAGACGGCTTTGTTCTTATATGAAAATCAATCTTAATAATGGTTTATTAATAATTATAATGTGTTTAATGCCATGTGTGTTACATCATTAAATTCATATTTTTAAACACTTTCATGTTATGTAAATTTTAAAGTTGTTGATATAACATATTTTTGAAAGAAAAAATAATGGTCTAAGATATATATGGTATTGGAGATTTCGAGACCATGTAGAAAATTTTATGGCTTGCATGAAAGCTTTGATTTAATTAACTGCTGTTTTAGTAGTACTAACTAAATTAGGTGCCCTGTTCATTAAACGACGGATATAATTAACTGGATTCGGAAACATTTGACAGTGAGACGGGATAATATATGTACTGAGAGATACATTGGGAATGTATCCTATAGACGCAAGTTTTCATACCGTATACATCAACTAACAAATATCACTAAAAATTTTAGAAAACTTTGTACATGTACTTTCAATAGTATTATATCTACATATAAAGTCACACCTTTAAATTTATTTTACATAAAGAGCAATAAAAAAGATAAAATTAAGATAGACTTGTAGTCTTAGTACTATCATATTTTTTTTGTTTTTTTTACGCCTAAAATGTATTAAATTTGATGTTAAGATTTTACACGTAGATATAATACTATATATTGAAAGTGTATACCCATTTTTTCTAGATTTTTCGATGATATTTGTTAATTGGTGTATACGGAGTGTATACACTTTGTCAGGGTTATAGATACCACATATCTAATTGTAGTTGACTAAGCTCGGCAGGGCTCACCATATACCATGTCTTATACGAAAAAAAACTCGTATATAGAAGGAATTCCGGATAAGGAAGGATAAATAGAGTTTTGTACGGAAACGACAAGGACTACTCGGATCATATCCATATTTATCTCCCTAGTTCTACTTGGACAATGGGGCATCTATGCGTATAAATACGAGCCCCCTAGGAGGAGAGAGGTAGGAGGAGAGAGGACAAGCCACAAGACACAACAGATCAATATAATATAGATCGATACAAGCCAACACACGCCAAGACAAGCTGCTGGATATCGATATCAGAGATAAGCCTAGACATACCCATCCGATGCCTACGAAGGCTGGCAAGAGGGATCTAGTGCCATCTCTGATCTCGCGGAGTGTGGATTCGAGGAGGAAGACTACCCCACCGTCGACTACGAGTTGGTTATCTAGCCGCCAAGTCGATAACAGCTATATTGGTTATCCCAAATATTGTACTTGTGTGATTCAAATAAATAAAGGAGCAACACCGGCTTCGGCCAACAGGAGTAGGGCTATTACCTGTCAGATAAGGGGCCTGAACCTGTATAAAATCCCGGTCTCCATCTTTTTTACCTCAATCTCGCATATTGATGACGCTCTCTCTCGTGGCCCGATCTTCTGGTGAGGGGATAACTCTCGCTTTGATCAAGTGCGACGTTTGCGACGTGGCTACCAACCAGAACAAGTCCAGGACGCCGTGCAATCGCTACACCACAAATGATGTCGTACCAACCGTGACGCGCAGTTGATGATCCTTGCAATGCAAACGAGAGAACACTACAAGAATAAGATAAGATACAATCTAAATATTGTGAATAGGTGATTAAGCACAAAGGAATAGTTGCGATTGAAATGGTAGATATAATCGACCCGGCAAATCAACACACCAACTATTGGGGGCTCTGAATCAATAGTCACCGACTAATCGAGCGATAACTAGAGACAAAGTGAAGGGCACTTTGCAAAATTCAACTAAACAAAACCCAAATGTTTTTGAGGATGTACAAAGCTATTTATAGAGGAAAATAAAGCTAGAGTTAAGTGCTAATTAGTGGAGGTGGAGGGAGACACTTCCGAGATGGGCCTAGTCTATTACAGGGACCAAGGCCCAAGTTCTGTTTCAGGAATAGCACTGTCTTGTTTTGGCGATTCCCATTGACTCGAGATAAATTTGGACATGAGACCAGTTGCATTTGAAAGGTAGCGAGATAAGCTTTTCACAAAGTCTAAGATCACCCAAATCGGAGTTCGCATGAAGGCGCTAGGTTCATTTGAAGTCAGTGCTGTCTCCGGAGGTCGAACTGGATTCCAAAACCCATTGGACTTTAATATCTTGTAGATCCTCTGTTCACTCTATGTATTCTTTGTCCATGTTTTATATTTCTCATGTTTGGGTGTATGCATATATTTGATGGTCACATCACATATACCTTGGTTCCAACGGTCCCCATACCATACAAATACCGTAGTCGCGATCTCAAAAGTCGATACACTTGTGTGCACATAATATATTCCCAAATACATTTCATATATATATATATATATATATATATTTATTTAAACTGAAATTGTAAAGAATTTACAAGATGGATATAGTATCTCGTGACTAAAACTATAATACGAATTACAACTAAATTAAATTTGATTTTTAAAACATGGTATCGCAAGAACCGCCTACCCGCCACCGCTGGGCGCGGCATTACCAGCCGCCGTAGCGCGCAGCCCCCGCCGCCGCCGGCCGCTTGCCTGCCACCACCGGGAGGAGAGGGGAGGAAGAAGGGGAGGAGGGGTAAGATCTGTGTAGGAGAGGGGAAGAGGAAGGGGAGGAGAGGAGGAGAGGGGAGGATCGATCGATCTGTGGGAGGAAGTGGTTGCGCGATTGTGGAGGAGAGGATAAGTGCTAGGGATTAGAATTTTAGTTCCGGTTGGTAATATCAAAGGGACTAAAGTGGTGATCTTTAGTCCCGGTCGGTGGCACCAACCGGGACTAAAGATCCTCGGTCCCCTGACATGCCTCTGACAGGGAATGAACCAGGATTACAGATCATCTTTGGTAACACCAACCGGGACTAAAGATCGTAGAATGGCTATGGGGTTTTCAACCGGGGCTAAAGATCATTTTTAGTCCCGGTTTTTTTGGAACCGGGACTATTGTGATTTTGGGTTGACCCAGCGAAAATTAGTTTTCCAGTAGTGTCAGTCAGGCACTGACGAAAGTACGTAAGAGATCAAAAAGTACAGTATAGTAGCTAAGTATGGTCCAAGATGTGTAGCTAGTACGTGCAACATACTACATCCGACCATAGCCACCGTACATAGATACGTTTATATATTATATCCGGGGGAAAATATGTGATGGAAATCATATATTTGGTGGAAACTTGAAAACTAACGTTGGATCGAGAAATAGACGTCCGAGATACGTCCACGTTATCACAAACGTCCATTTTTCGACCCAACGATAGTTTCCACCACATATATGGTTTCCACCGTATATTTTCCGCTACATCCGACCAAGGAGTACGGTTTTATTTATCACAGATTCACACAGGTATATATATGCTACTTGGTCGCCAAGCTACCGAACGTATAAAATAGAGCTTTATTAATCTCTGTTCTTATACGCATACGTGTAAGAAGAGGGACATCAATTGCAATGCAATGCATATGGTCTCAATCAAGACATGTAAATGTATTTCTAATTAGTTGATTGGTGTTCATTGCCCTGGGCATACTGACTTACAGTTTTTTTTCTCTTGGAGGAATATATACATTACGCGTTTAATTTGGCACTATTTTAGACTTTCAGGCGAGTAAGCCGCGTTGGATAAATACACACACTTTTTTTCTTGACACGGCAAGCACTTCGCAGAAACTACAGGGAAATTTTCATTTCTTCTGGCTAATGATCAGTTGACTTATAAAATAACACGCAGGCAGTACGTACGCTTGGTAATTAAGTTCAGTGAAATCATCTTTATAAATACCTATTAGAGCTTGCTAGATTTAAGAATCTACTTGTTTCTTCCTCTTAAAATCTCAACTTTTCCTTGCTATATATTTCGAATATATTCTTGATCGCATACAATCTGTGCTTTGAATTTGTTAGAGATCAGGGCGGCTTGATTAAGCAAGATTAATTCATTCAAGATTCAACCATGAGGCTGTTCGAGGAGCCACCGGCGAAGCTCACCCACTGGGCTCACCCGGAGCACGAGCTGACGCTGGCCGCCACCGCCGGGGCGCCGTTCCGGTGCGACGGGTGCCAGGAGCCCGGCGGCGACGGGCCGAGGTACAGGTGCGCGCCGTGCAACTTCGACCTCCACACCGACTGCGCCCTCCCGCCGGCCACCCTGCAGCACCCGCTCCTCTTCAAGGGCGGCGGCTGCACCTTCGTCTTCCTCCGCGAGCCCCCCGCGCCCGCCGCCGCCAGCCGGCAGTGCGACGCGTGCGGCGACGACGTGCGCGGGTTCGTCTTCCACTGCGCCGACCGCGACCTCGACCTCCACCCGTGCTGCGCGAGCTTGGAGGACCGCATCGTCACGGGCGGGGGCGGCGACGGCGACGGCCGCGTCTTCGAGCTCACCAAGGCGGCGTCGTCGTCGTCGTCGCGGCGCCGCTGCGGCGTCTGCGGGGACAAGTCGCGCAGGACGTTCTGGTTCTACCGCGGCCGCTTCGACGGCGAGGACGTGTTCATCCACGTGGCGTGCGTGAAGGAGCTCGCCGTGCGGAGGTGGGAGGCGAGCTACCGCCGCCGCAGCGGCGCCGGCCAGATCGCGCTCGCCGGCGCGCCGCTCATGGAGGGCGCCCTGCAGAGCCTGCCAAGGAGGACGCGGCGGAGCGGCGGGTTCGAGCGGTTCAGCAAGATCGTGGGTGTCATCGTGAGCGCCATAATCGCCGTCATCTTCGGGAATCCGATGGGGTTGATCGCCGCGGTGGCCGGCCCTGACGGTCTTCTCCGCGGGTAGAAGACGAGTGGAAAACAGTGTGCTGCTAATTAGCAACAGTCAACGAGTGCGTCACGTGTAGAGTGTTCTTCTCTATGATTTTTTTTTCTTCGTATAAACCCGAATGTTTTATTTTTAATCTTGTGGTGGGTTTGGAATATTTTGAACAAAGATTGGTTCGTTCATTTATGCATGTTTCGAATAATTTCATTTCATGTTATCATTGATGTACTCTTCTATCCTATTTACAGTTTATGGTAAAGTTTTTTTTTCCTAAGGGGCACATTACCATTCTTCGCCATTCATATGCTGGACAAAATGTTATTTTAGGCGAATATTCAGGATGAGATAATATTTCAAATCTATATTTTTTGAGTTGTACATAGTAAAAATAATTTTGGATAAGGTGAAGAAAATGGTGGTTTTTTGGTGTTATGAGCTGACCATCCAAGAGGAGAGAGCGAGGAAACGAGAGGACACAGTATTTTCTCTGTAAAAAAGAAGAAATGATACGGCATCAAAGCAAATGGAAATGAGATAAATCCCAACATGCATTTGGAAAGATACCCAATCCTTTACATATGCTCTTGAAATTTACTCAATATCTTCCATACCCTAATTTTTTTATTGGATCCCTTACACGCCCCTACCGTTTAGGTATTCTTCAGATATGCCAGTGCATGCATGTGTTAGCTTGTTAGTATTTTAAAAAATTATGAAAATGCTCATAACAACCCTAGGTAACACATGTTCTCATCTCCGATCTCCAAATCATACTCTAGCACATGCATAGAGACTTCACATCACAATCCGTGCTTTCTTAGTTGTCGAGTTCCGCTTCCTGGCAGCGACATCAACTATACATCCCGTCGCGGCGAAGGTCCATATCCCGTTGTAGCCTTGGCTCAGCTTCTTGTTGCGTTGGCGGAGGTTTGCATCCAGTTGGTGGCGGTGGTGATTGAGCATATTGATTGTGCAAGAAGACACTGCCTTTGGAGAAAAACAATAGATCCCCAAACCAAATCTCACTCTCTTGCGGCTTGGGATATTGTTTGCAGACTAACGAATAGAGGATGTATGGGTATTATCAATTTGGAACATCAGAACATTGCACTTCTTATGAAGCATCTTGACAAATTTTTCAATAAGAGAAATCTCCCCTAGGTCAGATTTCTTTGGAGCAAATATTATCATAACAAACCCCTCCCTCCACAACCTATGTATGAAAACGGCTCATTTTGGTGGAAAGATATCTTCCAGCTAATTCCTCTATTCAGGGTAATCTCCACTCTTCAAATCCATCAAGGAAACATAGCTTTATTCTAGAAAGACCATTGGGGTAATGATATCCTAAAATCTAGTTCCCATCACTATTTTCATTTGCAATCAGTGAGGACATATCTGTCTCTGCCTTCCATCAACAAGATCTCTGATAATTTTCAACTACCTCTCAACACTCAAGCATTGCAAGAGTTTCAACTTCTGGCTATAACGCTAGAGAGCGTCAGCTGGTCTGAGCAAGAGGATTCTTGGTCTTACTTTTGGGAACCAAAGTTTCAATCAAAAAGAGTCTATGATATCTTCTATTCAAACATCATTCCCTCCCCAGCAATCACCACAATCTGGAAAAGTAAGTGCACTATAAAAATCAAAGTTTTTCTATGGCTCCTCCTAATGGAAAGATTAAATACTAGACTTATGCTTCAAAAGAAGAATCTTAATATTCCTGATGGACCTGAATGCGTTATGTCCTCTCATAATCATCTTGAAGATACCATTCATCTCTTCTTCACCTGCCAATTTGCACATCAATGCTGGAATTATCTCAATATACATTGGAATTCCAATCTTCAATTCTTCAACATGATACTCATTTCCACGCAAAGTTTCTTTGTGGAAGTAATTGGTCACTCTTGTTGGAACATCTGGACTTGCATAAATGATTTTTTTTTTTCTTTTATAATATCCCGATCTCTTTCCAGTGTGGGAAGAATCTCTTTAAGAGAGATTTTGCTCTGCTTGTGCATAGAGCAAATTTGTTAGACCAACCAGTTTGGAAATCATGGCTTGACACTCTATTGTAATTCTCTCCCTGTACATATGTATTTGTAACTTTATTATTTTAATATATCGCAGTAGGAGTCTCTCGTGTTGTTTTAACTGTCAAAAAATAGTTGGTGGCGGTGGCTCCCCTTCCCATCGTGGTTGTAGCTCCGCATCTGATCGACAACGACGGCTTCTGTCGCAGCGGTGGCTTGCCATCCTGTCGGTGCTCGAGGTCCCTTTCCCGGCCCCCGAACGCTCGAGCTCTCGACGCCCCCACTCTCCTTCACATCGTTGAGGATCATCCATCCTTGGCAAGGAGCAGGTTGATTTCTTCTCGTCCTTTTCTTCATTACATTGAAATCTTCTTCTTCCTTAGGTAGTAGTAGTGGATAAGCGAGTCCTCTTGTATTTTGGATATTTTCATGTTCAATTTGTGTAGGTAAGTGCAAACACTTGGATAGAAGAGAGAGCGAATTAGAGGCGACCATCCCCTTTCTTTGCAAGAGAAGTTCACTCAGTGCACTTTACCGTCAAGTTGGTGCACCACACATCCGCATCGAATGGAAGATTCAAGGTCTAGAACTATTCCTTCATATCATTCTTTGGGGTAATTGGCTTAATTAGCTATCATGAATAAGTTTTCTATGGTTTATGAGTATCTAGGATTCAATTTGGTTGATAGATAGATTAATTGATAGGCAACTATTATGCTCATCCACAGGATGGAATCCTTAACTACATATCTGTTGAAAATCAAACTAGGTGAGGGATCAGAAATAAGCTAGTGTGGAATATGATTGGTTTATGTCAGTAAGGTGGTAGACTCAAATGCAATGTTCTGCAAAGACTTTGTTGGTCATATTATGAAGTTATATCCATGGAGGGCTAAATGAAACTGTTATAGTTGGCTATGTGCATATGGTTCATTGAAGTTCTCATCATGTCACAACTAACTAACTAGGATATGATGGAAATGATTGAAAAGTTTGTTGATACCAAGGTGATTCCATTGATTATCCGTTTGCATGGTATTAATGAAAATGTTGATGAGTTCGATCAACCACACTCTTGTTAAAGTAAGCGTAGAAGTGCTTGATACTCCTCTTTTGAGAACCTCATCTCAAGTGAATTTCAGCCAACCTAGCAGCAGCACTAACCTTCTCATGCCCTTGTGCCATCCAACACATACTTAGAAAACCCTTATCCTATGGCTAAACATGTTGGTGTTGATGAGCAAGGCATGTACTTAGATGATGGTGATGAGGTTGCAGCATGTTGTCATGCTGAGAAAACTAGACTTCAAGGGGTTGTCAGTGAAGAATCCAAGTATGAATCTTAGGATGGACGTACATGAGGATAAATCTCAGGATGGACTTGAGGATGAATCTCAGGATGATTGTGTGGATGAATCGATGGTATCAGATGGAATACCATAACATCTTCCTACAGCAACTTATGATAAAAACGATCTACCAATGATAGTAGAAAACATATATCCTAAGATGAATGAATTTAGATTGAAAATAGTACAACACGCAATGAAAAGGACAATAGGACAAGGAGCAATAGCTCAGGTTCAAGTAAATCGGATAGGCACTTATACTGCACCATCCAATTTATTTACAACTCTCTTTGTTCAAGTCTAGATCACTTACCGACTCCAACCAACCAACATGAGCCTTCTAACATGATTGTAGCACTACCATGCCTTGGAGGATAAACGCTCCTATTTGCACCTAAAATGGCTCTAAGAGCAAGACAAAGGAAAGGCCACCACTTGATATTGTTGCTCCTAACAGCCTAGCTATGAGCACAAGGAGTAAAAGTAAGAGCCCTACAATGAGCACTAGAAGTAAAGAAAACTTATGGACTAAGTAAACAAAACTATGGGTATAACTAGTTGATTTAGTTTTCTTTTTTACTGTCAATTAATTTAACTTGTGAACTCTTCAATATGCTAATGCATTTCCTGAAGAGTGCTAAAGTGTTAGCAACTTACTCATATTTTGCTACTGTGAAGATTGTTTGCTATTGTGGTAATGTGGTGGTGTACTTTTATGAGTCTTGTGACATTATGCTCATCATTTACAAAGTAATGGATTTTTTGTGTGTGTATGGTATAATTTGATTTTTCTAGCTAATTTGGTTTGTCAATTGCTCAGCTATTGAAATGGATTTGTGGTGGGTGATGGTATGAATTGAATTGTTAATCTTGTATTGTTGATGGTGAATAAATGTCTTTTCATTTTCTTCCTGTTAATGGGTGCTATCGATGCTCCTAATATTTTTGTATGGATGCTCCAGATGAATTGCATTGGTACTTCTCAGATCACCAAAAAGATCCATTGAATGCTATAAAAAAGATAATAAATGCATTAAAATTCTTTTTCCACATTTATATTAAAAATTTTATGCATTAATTATTTAGTCTCATAAAACACATACCGTGCAGTCATGAATATTTTAATTTTTATCAAGCCAACTGCCAAACACACGCTAAATTTCCAACTCTAACCCCAACGGTATTATGGTAACTTTCAACCAAATTGAATAGTGAACGGAACTAAATCTAACGGTTGAGGATCAAATAAAAAATTCAGGGTATAAAAGGCATCGAGTAAATTCAGAGGCATCCAAGAGATTGGGTAACTTATTTAGGGGTACATAGGGAATTTTCTCAATGCAAATAAGATATGTTAGATGATGAGACCAAACATACTGTGAGAACGATAAGAAACACAAACAATGAGCATTGGGCAACCAGGCTTGACCTAAGGCTAGAGGATATAAGTCTTGGATTACAAAACCTACACCATAAAGATATATCTTAATTTTCAACAAAAGAAAATTAAGATCAGCCTGCCAGACTAGGTGAAGCTCCTGGCCTAGCCCAAATTAACGAAACTACCAAAAAGTTTGTTCCAAGTTTTTTAATTCAAGATTAACAAATTTTCTTACCTATATTTTCTTTAGCGAAATATTTCATCCGTCCCAAAATAAATTTACTTTTTTACACTATATTTAGATTCAAGTAAGAAAAATAATTTATTCTAAGACGGATGTAGCATATACTAGTTATGTATAGGATTCACAATTACGACGAAATCAGGCCAATTCCACGAAACATCGAGATTCTGATATGGCTTGGAAGTTGTTGCCATCTGGAAATTCGATAGGTTTCATCCAAATTCAAATT